GTTGCCAGCTACTTCAGGGGGCTAACGAATGGGAGGGACGCAATGTGTGGCAAACACCATCGTTTAGCTCAATTCTGGACCACATCCTAGTTCGAGTACCGCCCTGGAAACAATTCTACCGTTTCAGGGGCAATTAAATAAAATAAGAATTAGATGAAGAAGAAGACTGGGGTTAACATTGACTCGGCTTTTGTTAGTCATTGTGTAGGGTCCATTGCTAACAATCTGTTTCCGAAGTAGTGATTTCTGTTCAGATGAAGCTAAAATACTTGTATCGACGCAAGTTTTCACTAGCGGATTGTCGGAACTCAAGCTGCGGAAACCATACATTTTCACGAGAAATCCGCCCACAATTGTTTCTCGGTGTGACTACGCAGGACCTTCATCTGGTATGTTTTGGTTTTACTTCAATATTATACTTTCAAGATTTTTTCTTCGTACCACTACTGTTGACGTTACAGGTGATGTACGCAACCAGCTTTACATTACACTCGTACAGGGAGAGTTTACTAGCAAATCATCTGATTGGAATATTGAGGCCCGCATGCACCTAGTCGAAGGAAATGGACGAATTATTCCTGATGTATGTATTAAGAGTTTCGTTTCTTTTTGCAGAATTGCCACAGTCGGTTGACGGAACCCATGCAAGGATTGATGTTGAGGAAATGAGTGCAACTAGTTTAATTCCTTTGCAGTGCTTCGAGACTGTATCTGCTGGATCCATGAAGCTGTCCTCAGATTATCGAAGCTTTGTTTATATTCACGAAGATAAACCGCTCTGGTTCGAGAACGTCAAGGTATGTGAAGCTTGCAAAATATTGTATAAAAGTGACCTGTCTCCACTGCCGTCTGGCTGCTTCAGATTACCATCCTGTCAGCAGTTGTTTTCGCCCCGGAATTCGCTTTCTCTACATTTTTGTGTGATATGCTAACAGCTGATTATGTCATGCTTCGTTCACGATTTACGAATTCTGCGCGCAAACTCAAATTTAAATGTTAAGATTCATTTGCCCGGAAGACATTAGTCGCGATCTGCATCTTCGTATAACGTTCCACTCTCGAAAACCATACGATAAAGGAAAACCAGAGAAAGGACCTTTCGCTTTGGCCCACATTCGTCTTATGTGTAAATCAGTTCTTGTTCCCGATGGTGATCACGAGCTGCTCGTTTATAAGGCAAGTTTTTTCTTTCAACTTTAGTAATGGCGTCAAAATGTTGCGTGCCAACATTTCTTAGTGAATTCTAATTTTTATAAACCTCTTACATTATTTCATTGGTTTCTATAATTCAGATTGAGTCATCACATTATGACGACAACAACACAGGTTACTTACCCTTGCCGCAAACCAAGAGGTAAATTTTGTGTATTATTTGTGGCTTTTAAGAGTGTGGTAAACAAAGAATGCCTTCTCTGTAAAGTAAAGTGAAAACACATGTTCAAAACCAATTCGTAATACTTTTTCATTGAGGAGTGTTTCACGAGCTCAAGTTCGATTTATTTTGCATTTTTTCCAGAGTTCTTCGTGATCTCGGAAACACCACAAACAAGCCACATTCCTCGGTCTTCTCATTAAGTGAGAAGAGTTCTGTGTTGATAAATACACTAACTTGTTCGACATTACTCACTCAGAATGAACATATCCTTAATGTACTCGGGTGGAGGTGAGTATTCAACTTGCTTATCTCGGCTTATGACCAAAACTCTTTTGAATCTTCTTTGGCTTTTGCGCTTTATGGCAGTGCGTCGACTCAAAATTTGTCATGCAAGCCTTGAAAGCACTAGGCTCGGGTATACGTCTTAGCTGAAAAAATGTATGGTAACCTTAGATGTTGCAGGGAATCGAGGCCAAATCTCAACTCATCGCTTATAATGCTAGCTGCTCCATTTGGAGACACTCAGGACGAGGTTATATGAGCTTTCGAGCCCGTTACTAATAATATAAAGGCTTCAGATCTACTGGCTTCGAATAATGACTTTTTAGATGATTCGATTTCTATGTCCGTTACTAGATGCGCTTTTTGAATTATGGGAAGAGCGTGAGCAACTTGAACTACCTGCATTTGACGTTATCATTGCACTTTTCAAATTGACTGGTGAGTGCTCAGGTCACTTAGTGATTCAGCTTCCAGCTGTTGGTCTGTAGTAATTTTCCATCGTTCCAGAAGAGCAGATTCACAGCACAGGAGCGGATTCGCTGAAGAAATATCTCGACAGGTTTCCATATTGCAACGCTGCTGTGTAAGCTTTTCGCGATTTAGATGATTCATCAATTGGAGAAGTTAGTGCGTGAAATTCAACGATGCAAAAGACGACCATCAGCTTCATGTTCATCTAGTGTTTTAGCTTGTATTTTAGGAGAAACCTTCGCGTTGTGCATTTAGGTGGAGAAACTATTCAGACGATTTGCTTCGTTGATTGTTTTGTGCTGCGGTAATGAGGAAACAAAATGATTGAGAAGGCTGAATGTTTTCTCAGCTCTTATTGATTACCTCAAGCAGATTTATCCAGTTCATAGTTGCTCCTTAACCGTGCTCCGTTTACAGAAAGTTGATGCGATGTCTCAATCACTACATAGCAAGTGCATCCACAGTGAACAATGAGAAAACTCGTAACCTGTTCAAAGTTTTGGGTCTTGTCTTCCGTACAGTAGTGCAGTCGAAGCGAAGCGGTGACAAGTACGTGGATTGCCCTTCTACTTTTGTTTTTATGCTGTTGAGTATTCACTTTACCTTTTTATAGCTTTTTCGATGACGAGGACTATACGATAAAATTTCGTGCTCAGCTGGATAGTGTTCTCGATTCGTTGGTATCTCTTATGGGCGAGACGAGAGAAAGGATGACGGTGCAGAATACAGCTCTGAAGCATTTGCCAGCAATTGTTGATCCGATTTGTGCGAGTGGTGCCTACGAGCCTACCGATCTTTGGTGAGCGTTGCCTAGAATCTTCGAATGTTCAACTATTTCGGCAATATTTAGTTTTCACGCCGAATCTGGGGGAAATATCTGTTTTCTTTCAGCAAATTTTTCATAAGAGTAATGAACGGCTTTGGAAAGAATATCGTTGCTCGAGAACGCCTCGGTTTGGTGTCTCAACTGATAGATACACATCTCTTTGAGGTATGTGGTGGTTCGAACCTGACCATTGGCATATGACCTGTCTAGAATTACCTTAGAGCATTATTTCGTCTCTTTTCTAGCTGCTGTCCTGTCGTACGGTTCTTCTACCTCGTTGCATTGATCTAGTTTTGGTCCAATTGGATCCGGACTTGAGTGAAGAGCGTGAGTTTGCCGATCGAGCCATGGAATGTGCTTCTATCGTCGGACGTCTCCTAGAGCGTCTCTTCCCAGCTACGGTAAGTTGTTTTTCAGTACCTGTATTACTAATCTCATACGGTTGGCAATTTTTTGCGTTTTCCAATGGAACTATATTTGGAATTTCAGACAACTCCACCGTTTTATCAGTACGGCACGGAAGAAGAGCTCAACCTCATTCTTGGTGGGACGTACAGGCCGTTGGTGCAAGCAATGGTGTACATTGGAGAACAGCATCTGTCGGTTAGGTCTACAACTCGTTTTTTGGTTTAGCCTCAGTCCGCTACCTTACACCTGAGTTCATATAGAAAAATGAGAGAATTTTTCTGACACTGTCTCATAAGAGTGAAAAAAAGTTGAGGTGTATCGATGAGAAAGGCATCAGTAACTGAAAGTGACCAGTTTATTGGGATGTTTAGTGGTTGTTAAATTTCTTTCAAATGAATCAGTCAGCTGCTCTTGTAGAGCGACGAAATTCGGGGCCGATTTTTCTCGCTAATTCTCGCGTTGCTCAACAAAATGTCGGCTGAAGTGTTTGGGAAATACATAGAAAATAGGTGAGTTGTTCCACATGCTTTACAAGTGTTTCACATGCTGTTTATTTGCATCCAAGTTATTCGAGAGATATCAGACCGAACGACATTGACAAGATGGATTTCATTTTGGAGATGTTGCAAATGATTCGCGACTTGTTGTGCAAGTGTCCTTTCCCGTCTACTTGGCAGCAGATGATAATGTTGCAGAATAAGTTCGTCATTCGTTCAAATAGTAGTCCCTTCTTAGTATTGCTTATGATGATGATTGCTTATCTAATTTACTTTCAGGACAGTTCATAAAGCTTTACGATTTCTCATGAATGCTATACAAGGACACTTTTCTAATGAGAGGGAGAGCTTCTATTCCGATGTGAGAAGCTACTGAAAATTCAGTCTGTTTTTAGGGAAAGACTTTTCAGGCGTTACCATTTTCTTTTAAGTTTCATTAGTCTCTTCTTCATTTAAGCTCTCAAAATTCAGATTTGGCAAGAATACATGCTCACAGCTGTGTGTTTCGTTACACAACCATCTCTGCAGTCAAATGAAGAATGGCTGCGAGACGAAGCCGATTCCCGTATTCAGCTACGAAAAGCAACTGCTCGTGATCTTCGATCAATGTGGTTCCGTCTCACACGTATGTTTACATTTGTTTGTGTAGAGCGAAAGAGCACTCAACACCGGTTTTCCTTCAGCTGTGCAAAAAATGGCCTACATCCCTCGTCTAGTTGGAGCGTTTCTAAAAGTTGCTCTTGTGGAAGATGACGAGACAAGGGAAGCGACTATTCCAATATTCTTCGATATGATGCAGTGCGAATTTCATTCCTGCATTGAAGATCGCAAGAATTTCAAAAAGGCTTGTTTTCCTTTAATTGTTTATTTTTGAAGGTAGAAAACCGCAAATTCAGCATTTCAAGAAAGATCAATTTGATAGGTATACCTGAGTTCATCCTTTGCCATTTCGTAGCCTTGTGGCTTTTCACTGCTTTTGAGCTAATAATTAGCTTATGTTCTAGTTGAAGATTTCTCTGACAACAGAATTGGTACCCACATGACTTTTGTGCCGCTCCTATTTCATCTTATCATTTAATTTGCATTTCAGTTCTCGGATGAGTTAATCACTCAATTAGACAGCTTGGTCGACCAAGATCGCGGAACGAGAGCCTTTCAAGAGCAGTTCACCAAAATCTTGAAAAGCCAGTGCCAGTATGTTCTGTTTCATTCATTCACCAATTTTTTAAAAAGTGTGGCAGATTTAGAAATGTTCATGCTTAGATTTGAAAGCACTAGGCTTTATATGCCCGTTTTGGAATGCGTTACGCCTACTGCTTTCTAAGGGTTGGTAGCAGCTGTATGTGATTTAGTTTACCCAGTGTATTGGGGTGTCAGCTGAACTACATGTCGGTGTTTTTGTCTTCTCCGACAACTCTAGTACCATATCGACCCCGAGTGAATTAAAGATTTGGATGGCTTCAACAGGATTCGATCCGAGATTTGATCCCATGCATGTGTTGCAGCGCTACTGCCCACTACACCACCTCCGCCCATGTCCATTGAGATAGGTAATATAAACCTTTTTCGATATCAATCACCTGCCGACGCCTATCAATGGGGCACCGTCCAGTGGATTAGATTGCGCTTTACCGATTAGTTGAATAATTCACTATCACATGCTCAAACACTTCCTGTTGCGTAAATGGGATTAAATAGTCAATATTGGGTTTAGCTTAACCTTTGAATGATAGTATCCTCGGATAGTAAGTTTGAGGGGCTGGACAGTTTATAGTTGATAGTGCTCAATCTTTTCTCATATCGCTAAAAAGTCTCTTGTTTAGATCGGACAGAGAACTGTGGGAGGGTGGTGGCAGAGATCTGATCGATCGTGTGGATCGGCTCCTGGGGCACCTGTTTGAGTACAGATTGGTACGGGAAACGTCAGATTGTATGGAGAACGGTATGAGTAGGACCGTTCAGCTGCTGGTCAGTACATCTTGGATTTTTCCCAGATAATCTGCACTTTTGTTGAATCTATACACTTTTCAGAGATACTATGAGAAGTACAGGCACCATAATCTCTACATCACTTATGTTTACAAATTGTACAACCTACATATGACCTACAATAATCAAATTGAAGCTGCTAGGACGTTAATGCTGTATGCGAATACCCTCAGCGTGAGTTTTAAGTACGCTTCTCTTCCGTCTGAAAAAAGTTGACAAAGAAAAGTAGCTATATTGATTCTATTATAAAGGATTGTTCTATAACAATTTAATGATGTTGTGGGTTATTCTGTCCTGTGTTCGTAGTTGCTTCTATGGTAGCTTTCGTTTCTTGTCGTCCTCTCCTTTAGTTTTTCATGCTATGTTTTTTTCTCATTTTCCCTTTTAAATTCCCCATGGGGTTTTCTGCTGTTTTCGGTTCGCACAGGCTAATTTGAGAGTGATGATCCGCTTTTTTTTCTGAGGATGTTTTATTTATCTCATATGTGATAACTGTTGCTTTGTGCTGCTGATACCTTGAGTCAGTACTCTGTTGGCTACGCTCGTATCTGGTAGTTCGGCTTCACGTGGAAGGTTGGCATACCCGTGCACCAAAGTTCTGACCTGCTCCACTCCCTACCGCGAAGTTACTGGCATCAAGGAAAACTGGTGTTAATACTTGTCTGCAATTTTAGCTAAGAATGCTTTTTACTGCAAAACTTTGGACCAGTTGAAAGAACAGTTTAATTTTTGGGCGCTGTGGATGCACTTGCTATGTAGTGATTGAGACATCGCATCAGTTT